TTAATTCCAGCTTGTGATTCTTCCAGCCTGGCATTTCTCATGATGTACTCTGCATATAAATTAAATACATTGGGCAATACATGGGAGCTATAGGTCATACTGCACCTAGTGACCCACTTGATACAGGACAATAATCTCAAATACCCAATATTGTTCTGGGGTGAAGGACAATTGCATGAAATACTCAAGTGAGCCACCAGGAGCCTGTGTGGGATAGATTTAGTAGTTTGGCCTATTTTCCACTTTGACGCTGCAAAGTAAGCCAACAGAGGACATAATATGCTATAGACAAAACCCATTGTTCTCTTTTCCAATTAAACCTCCAAAACCCAGTCAGCCACAAGGAGGCAGTGTGTCCTTTATGATAAACTTATTGCCCTTTTTTCGCTAAAGCCTGCAATACCCATGTGAACCAGCAGGGCACAGTATGTCCTATTGATAAATACCTTACCCAAATTCAGCTTTGGAGCCTGAAATACTCAAATGAGCCACCAGGGAGCAGCATGTCCTATGTGTTCAATACAGTTCCCTACATTACACTTTGAGCCTGCAATACACCAATCACCCACCAAGGGTAGTATGTTCAATGGGTTCAATACATTGCCCAATGTTTCCCCATGGAGCCTGCAATAACAAAAATCCCACCAGGGAGCAATATGCCTTCCTCCCCCAAAACTTTCCCTTTTTCACTGGTAGGAGTTCAGTACCTAGGTAAGCCACCAGGGAGCATTCTCTTTGTAATTCATTTTCCTATATTCCATGGGTGGGGGCACTCTACCATTGTTAGCAGTTCTTAGAAATTTACCAAAGCCTTTGTAACTACGTTTCTTACTTTTACTTTCATGTTTAGATGGAATGAATCAAATTGTAGGTAAATTGCAGCAACCGGATTATGATCACATAATCCTATACAGTTTTCCACCTTGAGAGTAGGTAGTAGGGCAATGCATTTAACCCATGCTGCCCTCCTTCGTTTTTTGTTGATCCATTGGTTGTGACAGGAATTAATCGACCGGCTTATCGCCAGAGCCTGACGTCAGGGACTGAGAGAGAGGGACTGGCCCAAAGTCACCCAGCCGGTTTTCATGCCTAAAGCAGGACAAGAATTCCCAGTCTCCTGCTTTCTAGCCTGGAGCCTTAACCACTAGACCAAACTGGCTCTCAAACCGGTTAGATGTCTCAATGTAAGTGACAGCGCCTTAACCATGTGCATGTTGCACAGGCCACGAGGGCCTCTTCCATCCTTATCAAGGGGAGTTAAGCTAACCTTCTCTCCTTTCTTACAACACAAGGTATAAACATCTCTTCTGTGCAGTATAGGGAAAATACTACAATGTATTTAGGCTATAGGCAATACTGCCCCCAGTGGCCAGCATGGATATAAAAGGTTCAGTAGGGAAATAGGGCGACGTATTTCAAATACAGTATAGGACACAGGTATCAATGTCTGAATGGGAAAATAGGATAAGCTATTTCAAATATAAGACATTCTGCCCCCTGGTGGTCGACCTGGGTAATAATGGCTCAATGGAGAATATGGGAAAATGTATTGAATCTCTAGGACCTGCTGCCACCTGGTGGCTAATTGAGGAATTTCAGACTCAATAGGAAAAATAGGGCAATATAATCGAAGCTAGATTGGGTTGAGCCCCAGGTCAGAGGCAGTGCTTAATGAGTGAAGGTTCAAATCCTAACTAAAGCTCTGGATGCTCCATTCTACCAGAAACCCTGGAAGCCGCTCAGCTCAGTGTGATGCCATGGCTGGGTTCACACACTGCACTAAA